ACTTAAAATTGTTCCGATTTTTTTTTACCTATATGACAAGCACTTGTTTCTGAAAAAAATACCCTATATATAAATACCTAAATTTAAGGTATATACATGTAATAGGTAGGTTTTTTCTCAGAGACAAGTGCCTAAAATCCATAATCAAGACCTATTGTATTTGTTCTGATTATTATTTTTTTCTTCCGCCAAATTTTGTTATCGCTTAAAACTTTGAGTAAACACGAACTAGCTTCTTTTTAATAAATTTAAAAATTGCTGTGGAAAGACCTTCAATTGTTCAGATTTAATTATTATTTTTTTCTTCCGCCAAATTTTGTTATCGCGTAAGATTTTTGTTTCGCAATATGTCGCTAAGATATTCCTTATATAGTATCATACAGTTTATGCGCTTTTTATTTTCACACATTCTAAGCCGAACAATTTTCTTTATAAGAGTTATGTCCCTATTCACTGTTTATCAAGTGTTTGCATCTCCTTCGTAAAAAAAAGGATATCGACAAAATTCTTTTTTTAAATTGTTCATTACATCCTCTGGAATTTTTGACTAAGTTCGATGAAATTTTAAAGGAATTATCTACCTTTACCAAATAAATTTGTCGGTATGTTTTTTAACTCATAAACTGTTAACCGTATAACCCTGGAATCTTTTTATTTGAGGTCCCTAGGTCACTACTTAGAAAATGAGGTCAAGGTCAAAGGTCAAGATCAAGTTCTCCAGAGGACGTTATTGTAATTTAATCAGATGTTACTTCGCATTAAGTAGTTACGGCATAAATTTATCAGATCGTTTAAAAGGACATTCTGTTTCCATTAATTTTCAATGATAGTGCAGTGTAGATCATAACAGATATCATATTTAACAAAAGGTTAACAATTTTTATACGTGTATATATATATATATTGTCTATTCTGAAAACCTCATCCAGATCCTCCTATCTAATCTGTGTCCTATAATATATAGGTCATAGATCTATTAATACAGGTCCGATTGAACGGCTTTTCAATCAAAAACGCAATGATCATTGCTATTTGACTGAGGCCATTATATAGCCTCCAAACAATTTTGCTGATTTTGCTATTTTGTTGATCATGTTGATAGTCCTGTTTTGCCGTTAAGCTTAACTAGTCTAGGACTACCCGTTTTCATGGTTTAAGCTGAATGTTCACTGCACTTTAAAAGAAATAATCGGAAAGAGTTCGGCGGAAACATGTGTCTTGCCTGCGACTACTGCAGCTGTAACATGTGTACTTAGTGTAATAATGTAATATTTTTTGGCCAAAACAAGTCTATTTATCAGTAAAATATAGAAAAAAAATATCGTTTGCTCGGAGTGCTATCTTGATCTTGATTATGGAAAAGCTTAGTTATTCAAGTTGGAAATCTTAAACCACAGCCTTTATACCTTAATGTTGAATAAATCGCTAAGACCATTAAGTTTTACCCTTGTACGTCCGTCCGTACGTCCCAAAGTTTGTTTCCGTTCTCTAACTTTAGTTTGCCTCCACCAAATGTTATGAAACTTGTACACAATGCTTATTACCACAAAATACAGATCAAGTTTGAATTTTGGTGGTGTCACTTTAAGTTTTACCCTTGTACGTCCGTCCGTACGTCCCAAAGTTTGTTTCCGTTCTCTAACTTTAGTTTGCCTCCACCAAATGTTATGAAACTTGTACACAATGCTTATTACCACAAAATACAGATCAAGTTTGAATTTTGGTGGTGTCACTTTAACCGTTCTAGAGTTATGTCCCTTTACAAATGGAAAAATTGCTGAATTTTTAGTTTCCATTCTCTAACTTAAGTTTGCCTCAACCAAATGATATGAAACTAATACACAATACTTATTACTACAAAACTCAGATCAAGTACGAATTTGGGTATCGTCACTTTTACCGTTCTTTAGTTATGCCCTTTATAACTTTATATGATATGCAAGCGGGGGCATCATCTGTGACCCATGGACACATTACCCATTTATTTTTCAAATATACTTTAATAGTCCCAGCTAAAACATTGCACAATTTTAATAGTCCCAGCTAAAACATTGCACAATTTTAATAGTCCCAGCTAAAACATTGCGTACTTAGTTTAAAGTCCCAGCTAAAACATTGCATAACGGCGTGTAACTTTTTCTTTTAAAATGATTTATATTTCTCTTTCCTTTAAAATAAGAACATGCAATTTACAGAAGAGATCGTTATATCATAGATGTAATACCCACGCTAAGACAAGCGTAACTCGAATAATTGCTTCACATGACGGTGCCGCGTGAGCTATTAGTTTCAGTCGATATACACATCATCTTGAAATAATTACTAATCATATATAGATTCTGATTGGTTGCTTTATGATGCGGATGAGATACAGCAACAGCTATTGGCTTAAATGATATAAAGAATTACAGACTTTTCTCGACTCAGGATAAGACATCAAATGCCGAAAAATTAACTATGTGTATTTCAGATCCGATCAACTGTCATTAATTCATGTTCGTTTTATTATGCATATATTGCACATTGAAATTCAGTATTGAAATATCAATTATTAATACGTGTTTATTTGCTTTGTTTAACTGCAATATACATATGTTTCTATACAATGTTAACAAAAATGCATTATCTGTATTTTATAACTTCTGCAATTCTAGGCACACCTCCAGAGAGGCACATTTACAGAATACTAATTCAACAACCACATGCACACATATTACCTTAAATTAGGATAGAGCGAAGCAGTCCACAGCTTTTTAGAAAGCTCAAACTTGTTTAGTCGTTATATTCCACTGATTACTACATTCTCGCAAGTAAGAGAGATCGATTACGGGGAGGGACTGAATTATTCGGGTTAAGAAAAGCGAAGAAGCTTTCCGATTGAAAAACTTACTGAAGAATGCTCAGCGGGTGATCTCATTACATGTAGGCTAAATTATCAGATATGTGTGATAGTAATTACAACGCACATAGAACCTTTGAAGATACAGGCGAAGTTAATCTATGGGTATTACATCTATGTTTATATATTTAACATAATTTACATATTTAATAATCCTAATAGAAATGAACTATCATTTATTTTATATCTTTTAGCAAGGAGGTTATATATGAGATATACCTCCTTGGTTTTAGCATAGATGTATAGTTTATACATCTATGGTTTTAGTTTGTATAGCTGCTTCATTACTTTGGTTAATATTTAGTAGTTATTTACCACAGGCACTTGTCTCAGAAAAAAAATTTCCTATATATATACTTGTTATATTAAGGTATATATAGAATTTTTTTCTGAGACAAGTGCCTGTGTAATTTACATTAAGAAATACGGTACAACATTTTCCTTAACTTAATTTAAAATAACTTGACATTACGACTAACATTACTATAATTTATGACGGTGTCCGGATATGAACATGATATGTGCATACACATTCTGCTATTTAAATTGGAAAATGCATAAATTAAGCATTAAACATTTTCATATCAGAACACATTTTTCACTGTATATATCTTAAAGTTTTTAAGGACATGTATACTAAACCATAAGTTGCCATCATGATACGACAGTCCCCATAAATTAAATTGAGAAATTTAACTAGTTGTCATGTACACTGTGTCACTATGCACACGACTGTGAATTGGCTTAAATTGTATTCTCTTGGATTTATCTTAAACTTGGATTTCACAGTTGTATATGTTGGTGCTACATGTACAGGTATGGAATTAATCTACTCAACAGAACTCTTTCAATTTGATCAATTAGTATCGGAGAGTTTTATTGAGATTTTGGGAATACGTCAATTGACATGGTGAAGACTATCTACCAACTTTGGTGTTGAAAAATATTAATAGATACGTTTCTGTTGATGGTAACTTTCGGACATATCATGCATATAATGACCTTTTTTTTGCATGTTTCGTTTTCTTTAAGTACATTGCAATACAGTCTGATTGAAATACATGCCTTGCTTTTAAGATTGTCCGGGTATAGACTTATAGTCATTCCTAGACTTCTCCCATCCAACAGTTTAACCCATGCTGACTATTCGGTATGGGTTTTACTCATTGTTGAAGGCCGTACGGTGACCTATAGTTGTTAATCTCTGTGTCATTTGGTCTCTTGTGGAGAGTTGTCTCATTAGCAATCATATCACATCTTTTTATTTTTAAGTTTAAAACGGGCCACCGTTTTGTTGTGCGGCATATTTAAATATGCACTTACGGTCAAAGCAGGAGACGTTAAATCCTAAATTAATGAGATGATAATAAGCTTGCATTCTACTAAACAATTTGGCAAAATAAAAGAAAAACGTTGATAATATAATAATTTAAGAAAAAAGCTTCAAAAGAAGCCTGGTGCATGAATGATGACACAAATTGGCCATACAACATTCAGTCCAACTACAGATCTCATGATTAGTTTTCGCGAGGGTTGTTTAGCCATGGTGTAATGTAAATATTTTATTTAAACAAATACGTTTCAATCTGTTTTGGGGCAAAATTGGGTCCTTACGGAATTCCTCATTTGTCTAAATATTCACCGTGCACTGAACCTTCAAAATGATTCTAAAATGAAATAACAGAGAGACTTCTTAGTCTTTTATTGATACTTTTTCATTGTAGGTTCTGTGTGGGAATATTCCGGAATCCATGGTGAGTCCACAGATATGATTATTATTTACTATTATCAATTTGAGAATATCCTACTTTAATTTCAACTTGAATTACATTTGTACAATATACACACATAGAACTTTTATGATTCCTTTTTTTACGTTGATAGTACCTATGGTTATTATTTAACATTTTCCAAACTAGACGGCATTGATTAATGAGAATCTTGTGTAAAATAAGATACATGTGGAATTTAGATGGGTAAAGAACAAATTAAACTTTACACTTTTAGTTCGTAAAATCTCCTTCTACCAAACATAATTTATGAGTATAATTTACGAATGTTTACTAAGTCTATGGTAATATTTCACCAATCAGGTCCCTCCCACTGGCACGAAGAGTATCCCGACTGTTCTGGAGTGATGCAATCACCTGTTGCCATTGAATCGAAAAAAGCAACATATGACGTCAGCCTGCTGCAGTTTGGATTTAAGGGATTTTCTGAACGAGTGCATGCAAATATGACGATGAAAAACAATGGACACACTGGTAAGAAATATATTTAAATATACGACTTTGATATACCGATGTAGAAATATTATTGTGTTATTAAATACTTTAATTAGAGTAAAATAAATGCATGTAAATTGATTGTACGTGAAATATAATCATTGGCAATCCTTACGTATAGTCACAATAGCACAGGCTTTACTATTACCTCAAAATGTACATAACGTCATGTAACGTGGGTTTAATTAAGCATATAATTAAGATACACAACACTGTATCAACACTCAACTAAATAAAAATGATAATTCCTCGAGCTGTCATTCTTTCTCATAATCATACTGGGGTAGGTTTGGAGTTCTGGCTAAGCGCTCTTTTAAGATTAAAAAAATATATCGAATTAATGCGCATTAGTTAAAAACAAAAGTCTTGTACGTAAAAAATATATTTACTATTAATGAATACTGAGGGAAAATTTTGATGCAAATGCTACTTCAATTGGAGAAACAGCTTTAACAACGTTCTTTTTGCTAATGGATTACTACTATTCGTTGTATAGTTTCAAGAAAGTTTATGATATATCTTTCAATTTTACATAAAATCAACTATTATCGATTTCAAGAGACTTGTTAAATTTTTTTATCCCACACCCAAAAGAACCAAAAAAAGAAAATATTCATACAGTTCTGGAATATATATGCGGACGTCGTTGGTTCATGTCTGTCATATTTGTTTTTCGTAATTTTTTTTTATATCTATAAATTAGGCCGTTAGTTTTCTCAATTGAATTGTTTCATATTTTTTCATGTGGGGGCCTTTTATCGCCGATTTTACAGTATGGGTTAATTTTTCTCATTGTTAAAGGCCGTACGGTTGCCTATGATTGCTTACCACTTTATTTGAACTTTGGGGGATAGTTGTCCGTATTTTCATGTTGAACCTCTTTGTACAATTTTACATAATAAGTGTCTGTTTTTTCAGTTCAAGTGGACATTGTGGATACGTCATTGAGAACACACGGAGGTGGAGTGACTGGTGGATACAAGCCTGTACAGTTTCATTTCCATTGGGGAGCAGACAATTCCAAAGGCTCTGAACATGTTATTGACAACCACCATTATCCGATGGAGGTTGGTACTCCATATTATACTTTTATATACTATTTGGAAAATAAGAAACCAAATTAAAACACTATAGGCAAAACTACAACACTATGCGAGAAACAAATGCAATACTTCAGTTAAGCTCCTTCAGTTATCCTGCGTTATCACTTGTGATACCCCATGGTTAGGCGAGGTTCGTGTTGTTTAGTCTTTAGTTTCTCTTTTTGTCATTTTTACGTTTTTTGCCATGGCATTGTCAGTTTGTTTTCGACTTATGAGTTTGAATATCCCTTTGGTATCTTTCGTCTGTATTATATAATGTTGATTTTCTAGATATGCATTCCAATAGCTTCCTGTTTGACGAATCTTACAGAATTCTCAGGTTCTTTTTTTCAGGAAAATAAATGTTTGACATTTTATCATGATTTTTATAGCTTTGGTTTGTACTACTGATTTCAGCCGGGCAGTCTCTTTATATTTGATCATACTTTGAACTTTTAAGAGAGTGGTAAAGGGTTATTTTCGTGCAACGTGTTTTGTCATTTTTATTTCACGTGCAGCCGTGAAAAAGGTTCGTCATTCACCGTGTTTCGTGAAATCGGTAAAAAGAGCAAGACATTTTTAATTGTTCGTTCATCGTGAAATGGCAATTTTATTCCGCGTTCTTCCATGCAGAAACCCCCCCCCCCCCCTTTACGACCCTCTTTTGGTGAATATTTATCCAGGAAAACGCTTAAGTGCAACACATTTTGCGTGTTAATTTACATTTCCTACTATATACACTTTGAAATTTACATTATACAATGATATTAATTTATGTATAGTAGCTGCCATAATAACTGTACTTATAATAAAATATAACTCTTCTGAAATTAACAATATTTCAGATGCATATAGTCCATTATTCTGATAGGTTCCAGAAGATCGAAGATGCTATTGATAAACCAGATGGTCTTTTGGTCTTGGGATTTTTCTTTGAGGTAAATATTAACATATACAAAATGAAATGAATATACAAACTTACGAGTATAAACCATGCTATCATATATAATGTAAATACCAGATTGTATATTGAAAGATTATGATTGGTATTTCTTATTGGTTAGTGAATGGTATACTATAATATTGAGAGTGTTTTATTTTGTCTGCATCGGTGTTTAAAATTCGTAAATAATAAGTACTCACCAACTAAGGAAAACAACTTGAAGGAATCGAACAAACTGCAAATAGAGCACGGTCGAGAGCGCCTACATAAGGGGGGGGGGGGGGGGGGGAACTGACAGCCCTAAGAGGGGGCCTGCTCCAGTCATGCTTCAGTGATTCCCTCTATAATCAACCAAATTTTTCCCACAAAAGGTGGGGCCCGCAACCCCCCCCCCCCCCCTTTTGGATCCGCCTATGCTGGTGTTAATTCACCTTTATATAATCAACTTTCCTAGTAAATTATACTTACTGTGTTTACAATTGTAAAATCCATGACATGCCAATACACACCCCGAAAAATCTTAATATGGATATATGCGTAATAAATCAAATGGCGGCAATGTAGTTTAAGTTTGAATTCACCCTCTTTGTTTCATGGCATTGAGGGCTTTGTGCCTGAATGATTTGTGTTATTTCTTACTTGACATATACTCTTTCTATAATTTCAGATTGGGCCACATAACATACACTTTGCAGAAGTATTTAACTATCTGGAAAACGTTGCACACAAAGGTAATTAGAAAACTCATTTCAGATCGATGTTAATTACACCAGCCTAAGTCAAATTTTAGAAATTTATAATTGTTGAGCCTGCGACTTTTGTCGCAAAAGCGAGACATAGCGATCCTACATTCCGTCGTGGGCGTCGGCGTCGTCGTCATCCACAAATATTCACTGTGGTTAAAGTTTTTGAAAATTTAATAACTTTCTTAAACTATCCTGTATTTCTACCAAACTTGGACAGAAGCTACTTTATTATCATAAGATAGTATCCAGAAGTAAATTTTGTTAAACAAAAATCCTGTTTATCTTTATTTTACTTATAAATGGACTTAGTTTTTCTGCCAGTTAACATTAAATTCACTCTGTGGTTAAAGTTTTTAAAATTTTAATAACTTTCTTAAACTATCCTGTGTTTCTACCAAACTTGGACAGAAGCTTGTTTATGATAATAAGATAGTATCCAGAAGTAAATTTTGTAAAAAAAAATCTTGTTTATCTTTATTTTACTTATAAATGGACTTAGTATTTCTGCCAGTTGACATTACATTCACTCTGTGGTTAAAGTTTTAAAAATTTTAATTACCTTTCCATTTGAAAGAGATATAAGTACTTAGTTGAATTTATTAATTTGTAAGATTTCAAGTGATTAGCAATAAGTCTTGTTCCTTTGTATGACACACTGGCACACTGTTTGAGACGTACTATAATGAACTTAAAACACTTCTGAACATTGCGTGTGATGCTAGAGGCAAAAAAACATATAATCTAATGTTCATGTAGTATAGATGAAATCTAAATGTGCCTTCGCGCAAAAGCGTGATAACTTTGGGCACTGTGGATATTCAATAGCTTAATGAAGCGAAAGATATGCCTTTTATATGCTTTTATTTTTTAAACGCTTGATGAACTATAGATACAGGATGTTTAAACGCTAATTAATTTGACTATGCAAGCATGTCTAATCCCAAAAAGTCCTGTATATATACAACATTTCTTAACCGTCCTTTATATGACATTTTAATTGTCATGATAGTCCGCATTAATATTCACATCGGTTTTGCCCAAAGCTCCGAAAACTGACCCAAGAAGAACGACAGAACTTAAAACGCTGAGTAACTTGACTTTGAGACTTCAAAGGTCAATTTATTTGTGTATTTAAAAACGCATTCGAATGGCCCAGTCAAAGGACTGTTTTACCAATACATGTTATAAATACTATATATATATTTTAAATATACCTACATCATGTATAGTAAAACACGATTTTATCTTTTATCGCAGCAATATATAAAGTGACCAAGTTCAACTTGGTATGCCTTTTGAATATTATTTAAACAATGTTGATACATTTGTTTCATAGTACAACCCGTACATGTCAAACTACTATTACTTTTTCTCAGGTTCTATTTGTAGTAAATTTCGAAAATACATAATTATATAACTCAATTTACTGCGACTTATATTTTCATGTAAATATAACATTGAATTGTGATTCTTTTTGCTATATTTTGTAGATGACACTGCAGCAATCCCACCAGTAGTGATGGAGCGACTGGTACCAATAGACTTAATGCATTATTATCGATACAGAGGAAGTCTCACTACGCCTCCATGTTACGAGAGTGTTGTTTGGACTGTTTTTACGCAACCAATAACAATTTCTAATGATCAGGTACTACATTTATCACTGAATTGTATTATTATATAATAGTAAAATGTCTTTTAAAACACGCTTTAACTTAAGTTATATGAATCGAAATGGCTAAGAAAAATAAAATAAAAACAACAAACATTAGTGATTGTAATCAATTCATTTGTTTTACGTCCAGTGTTAAATATTACACGCATATTCAGGACAGGAACAAAATAATGTGATACGACGGTAATTATTACTTTGTACTAGACCGACATGCTGAACCAGATACTCAATGTGTTAATTCACATGGTAAAAGTCGACAGGAAGGCCTATTCTTTCTCTGACCTGTCTTTGCTTTTACACCTAAGTGCCGCATGGTTAGCGTAAAAGCAGTGAATACCAATGTACATGTCTTTGTTTGACCTGGCCAAGGGTCGAACCAACGACCTCTTGCACATGAAGTAAGCTAGCTTTTGAGGAATTGGGTCACATTCCTGGAACTACATATTCAATTGATTAACAAATTATATTATCAAAAAAGATTTGAACAAATTCACCGAAATCATACAATAATAATTAAATCAAATTATTTGTGATTTCCAATTTAAGAAGAGCAGAGATATATAAACTGAATATGAAGAAAATTACTGCCAATAAGCCTGTTTTTCAAGCTGTATTTTGAAATAGCAGAATCAAGATTAAGTGTTCACATTTTTTGGATGATCCGTTTTTAAGTGTTTTATGAAAAAATATAGAATGAAGTAGGTGTGTTTAGACCTTTTATGACGACGGGAAATGTCAGAACTAGTACTGCTTCCATAATTAACTTGGCGGACGAACAGTAGCCAATGTAAATACATTTTACATATACAAAAAAATTGTATTAGAATTTAAGTATAATTTCATTCTATCTTTTTGTTCTAATTTTAGATGAATAATTTGGAGACTGTCACTGTACTTCCTTTGACAAACTCTCAACAAATCTTGTCATTAATTATGACACATATCTACCTTAAACAGTCCCAGGAGATGGAGACTGGTTTTTTTTTTCACTCTCTAAGTTTAATCATAGTAAAAGGAGACTTGAGTCTGAGTGATACATTTAGGTATATATTGTATGCTCCCATATTGTCCAAAATTGGATTTTATGGGAATTACAATTGAGTTATGATAACCCATGATAATACCATGACTTTTGATAGGTATAGAGCATGTTACTTGGAAGTATGTGGGCTACATACATCTTTTGAAATTCAAGCTGCAGACACATTATTTGGAGGCAATATAAATATTTGCCTCCAGCAGTCACCAGTATATTTTATGCGTCAGTTTAAACCTGATCAAAACATTTTCACTTTACCGAATACTTTTATCAGGTGCACATTTCAACCTATTATAGCAATAAACAATTATGGCTATAACGTCACAGTACCCAAATTGCACCAAGTACCCAATTTTCACCCTATGTGTATGTATGTATTCAACAAAAATAACTGCAGAAATCTTACAAGTTTTTTTGAGACACAAATCGTTCACAGTGAGAATATACATGTATCAACAGATGAAGCATTCCTGGGAAAAAGTAAATCTACGAAAACATCAGTGTCGTCACCATGCGAAGTTATCTAATTATCATCTTTTAAAAATGTTAGCAACTTCACAACTACAAGTTAATTTTCATGACCAAAATAAAATAAAGTACAAACAAAACAGCAATAAAATGCTTCGCCAAGCACAGCCTGATACAACCACAGATGTAGATTTAGCATATAAAAAACACCAAAAATTTTATGTCAGTTGAAATCAAACATATTTTAATTTTGGACCCTTCAAACTTTAATATGGACTGATTTGAAAACAGGTATCAGGTGAGCCCAAACATTTCTATTCAGCAGCAGTCTCCAACTACATATCTCCTTAATTTTATATGATAGTCCCACAAAAATGTTGAAAATGTGTACATTTAATTTTTTTTCTAGATTCTCTCATGTCATGCATGTGAAAGCGGTACCTTTTTGGTCACTATTTATGTGTTGCGTCTTAATATGAATTGTAACACTTTATAGTGACTGACCAGATCAAACAAATACTTCTCAAGAAACATGCAGCAAAAGAAGACAACTTGGAACAGCACCAGCCATGCCAGACTATATAGGAATAAAAACTCAAATCGGAACAGCATGGACGATATGTTAGTGATATGTCCTTGTGAATAGTAAGGAAAGCTATCAATAATTCCGCAATTTTATCAGGTTTATCGTACATTTTCTGTTCAAATTTTCACACAATCAGTGAATCGTTCAAAAAGGCTAAACTAACGTTTTATTACCAGCTGATTACTGTGAAAGTTTCAAACAATGACAAGTGTTTCATTCATGAAATAATGTGTGCGTTTCTGTGAAAAAAATCATGTGCAATTTTGTGAATTAAAGGGAAAGAAGATCCTTTTGCGGTGCACTTGTACATGTCAATTGCGAACTAACCCAGTATATTTTCTTTATCATGACCAGTCCACTGATAATGACGTCAACATTATCAAGGACAAGGAGTATACACATCAAAGGAAAAATGCACAAATTACCGATAAAATGAATTACACACACTGTTTCGTGTGTATCACCTCCCATATCAGTATTTGTTGCATTTATATATAAATGAGAAATAATC